TATATATAAATATATATATATATATCCCAATATTGTATAACATTTAGCATGAAAAATATTTTGTAAAAGTCATATAATTAATGCATAATGTTCATATTTGATTATTGAATGTTAGGAATGAAGTATCATATGAGCAGCATTCAAATCTGCTTTCTTATTTAAATAATTCTTATTTAATTGTACAAATGTATCAAGGAACTGTCCAAGCATTCTTGAAATACATTGGTATTGTATTTTAATGATTAATAATGAACACACGCCAATTAATACTCAACAACTTTTGGACGGGTTTTAACATAAACGTATGCTGCTATTATAACAAATATTGCAGCAATTGTTGGTAACACAACTGTAAAAACACGTTGTTTATTTTCCAAAAATTCCTTTTTCCTTTCTTTCTTCTGTTTATTTGTTTCTTTTGTTTTTCCCTTTAATTGACGCATCTTCCTGCTACAAATAAAATATGCATATTAATAAAAAAATATTGAAATGAATTTATTACACTTTTTCTTTTACATGTTTTAATATAAAAGTGTTACAATTGAAATTATAAAATTATGATAAAATATTAATAAAAAAGTTTCTAAGTGTTCAAAAAATATTATTGATGAAATTTTTTAATATTTATAATTTTCTATCATTTAAGTCAAAATCCTTATGTTACTATTAATATATTATTTAAAATGATTTTTATAAATTTAATATTTATTATTTCTTTGCAAATATTTTTTTATCCTATTGAATTTATTTTTTAAAAATAATAAAGTAAATTAAATATATTTATATTACATATGTTTATGACAGTTTTAAATGTTATTAACATACACGCGCTTTACAATAATAAACCAAAATAATAAACTTGTATTTTATTCTGTTTATAAAAAATATAAATTTTAATACCTTTAATATGTATATAATTAAGATAATCAAATATTAAAAAACTTCCCAAAAACTCGTTTTTGGAATTCTCAAGCAATAGAGAAAAGATTTGCGTATATGACACGTAATAAAATAACGCTACCCTACCAATCGCAATTCCTGTCACTTCCGTATAGAGGTACTCAATTGAACTACGTTAATCAGTATAGTTAATTCAAACTATATTTTTATCTATAATATATTATATATTTTTTACATAATAACATAAAAATATATCTACATTACTTTTATATTATATTTTCATATAAAATTATTATTAATGTTAATATGTTTAAAATTATAATATAATTAACAAGTTCTAATAATATAAAAAATAATAAATAAATATAATCACTGTTGAATGATTGAATATTGATAAATTAAATTAAGAAAATATAATTCGAAAAATTTATATAATAGATTGTAAATTATACATAATATATTTTTTGTTTTATTTTTTCATACGAAATTATTCAAAAATTGTTAGAAAGTATTTAATACCTAATTTATTAATTGTGATTAATATTTAAAAATTTTATACTCTTTATTATTAATATTTTAAGTTATTTAATGTATATATTAATGTCTTATTAAATTACTAAACTAATAAACTAATTTCTTTTAATATCATCTAAATATTTATTTTTAATTTTATGAAAAAAATAAACTGTAAGTTAGTATTTTGTATATTTGTACTAAAAAATGTATTTAATAAATTAGAGAATTCTAAGAATATAATTATATTTCAATACATTTTATTATAAAAGTAATTGATTGATATATATATAATTATTATTGAAATATTTTTAAAGATAAGTATACTATATTTTTTATTTAAATATAAAATTTCTGAAAATATATGAATCACATGATGAATCATATTATTAAAAAATTTTATCTTCGATATTTTATTTTATTTTACAGTTTAAAGTTATAGCTCTAATTGTATAAAATAATATCCATTTTTTTTACATATTAATTTTTTTACAATAATAATATTATATATTCTATGTATAACAAATATTATTTTAATATTTTTTAATATTATTAAATATTTCTAATATTAATAATAATATTCTATATTTGTTGACAATGTTTTTCATATTTTTCAGTTATATTATTTTGTTACTAATTAACTTTGTAATATTTTAAAATTTTGTTTTTAATTTTATTAAATAAATTACTGAAATATAACTTTATTTTACAGGATATTTAGATTTTTTATTAGTTGGTAATGTATTTGAAATAATAAATATATAGAATATAAAATATAAAATATAAATATATAGAATATAAAAACTAAAGTATTATTAAAATAATCATATATATATTTCAAATTAAAATTATTGTATAAAATATTCATAATTTTTTTTATTATATAATTTAATTATTCTCTTGAATATTTTTCATTAAGATTACTTTCCATAATGTCTTGTTTCCATACATATTCTAAGCTATATCCATTTTTAGGCACACATGACTTTATACATGTAAATATTGCTAAAATACCCCAATCAATACAGTTTAATGTATTTTCAAAGTCTAAGAAATTTAATAATTGAGGCATAATCTATAAAGAATAATCTTATTAGTTATATCAAAATTTTTATACTACAACAATTTTTATATTGTAAAAATAAAATTTTTTTTTATTTCACCTGAAATTCAAATTGTCTTTCTCCATTACATTCTGAACATTTTGGTACTTCATTAATTTTACTAGATCCTGAAATATATAAAATATTGCCTCCTCTATCATACCTATAAATAGATAAAATTTATTACATATAAATAATGTAATAATCAAGAAATATAAAGCAAGAAAAATAAATAATAAATAATATGAAAACCTTAATATTTGATCTGGATATTTTTTAATAGTTGAAAGAAATTTAGAAAATGTTTCATCTTCTTGTTGATTAGCCATATTCATCAATTCATTTTGTATATCTTCATTTTGAAAAATTCCTGCTTCATTTTTTTGTACCATTGTTTCATATTTTTTAATTTCTTCTTCTTCTTTAATCAAATCATTTGAATTATGTGCATCTTCTTTATCTTCTCTTTCCATAACTATTTCATATTCAGGAAATAAGAATTTATTTATTCTTACTATTTTTTGATTACCATCACAAATCTCTCTATGCCCATGTTTCCAATCATAAATTTGATGAGCTCGACAACAATAATTTACAATTTTACATTTAGAACAATGATTAGGTGCTAATATTCCACAAGTATAACATGTTTTTATCCATTTATTTGTACCTAAAATCACTCAAGTTATTTTTTATTATTCTTGTAATATCTTTCAATCATTTAAAATTGTTATAATAATCATTAAATAATCATTAATAAAATTTATTAAAGTAATTGTTTTTAACATACATACTAATATCAATTCTCCAGTTACTTTGTTCTATTGGAGGTTCAGGTGAATAAAATTCATTTATTCTTGGTAATTGAGAACGGAATACTTTTAAATTTCCATTTTTATTTAATTTACAACATTCCATTTTTTTGCATATAAAAATAAAAATCGTTCGATGAAAAGCATATTCGTTATCTTCATATGGTGCATAAATTTGACATAAAAAAATACAAGGTTCTTTACAATATTCACAATGAAAATCTTTTTCTCCAGGTATATCTCTTAAATTAAGCCAAGCTGGTTTACCACCGACTTTACTTGGAAAAAATCTACTTTCTACTTGCCAAGATTCACACTTTTCCACAAAACCTAAATCCAATGTCATTTTATAGAGATTTAAGATTTAATTAATTTATTGAAAATATTTATAAATATTTATTTTGATGATAGTTATTAAATACATATTATGACCATGTGCTAATTTATTCTATCTTTTTATTTTTTTACATATCATGTAACTTAAGAAAATATTACTAGAATTATAACACTATATAAAAAAGAAAAAAATCATATTTTTATTATACTTTGTAACAATATGATTTTATTTAAAAAAAATTACATATAAAAATGCTTTATAAGATAGAATACTTTATAATATCACGATGAATATAATAAGAAAAATTCTTAATATTAAAGGAAGTCTACAATCTCAAGAATAATTTTCGTGAATTGTAGTTTTTCCATAGTGATATATATATATATATATATATATATATATATATTTGTGTGATGATATTGGTGATTGATACTTGTTATTTAGGTTACCTGTTTAATCGTAACATTAGATTTCTGAGCTATTTTATTGTGAATTTTGAGAAATGACATCTTTTTTGGAAAGTTTACAATCTTCAACATGCGTATGGTTCGAAATAGGCAACAAACGAAATGTATTGGTGTCTATGTTCGCCGGAACATTGGTAAACATTGAAGTTTATATATTCTAAATGAAACTGACAGTACAATATATTTTTAATTTTTAAAACATTATTATTAAAACATATTTCTAAAACATATCAATTTTTATTTGTAATAATATTATTTTTATATAATTTTTATTAAATAAGTACACTTTAATGTAATAATTAAAATAATTAAAATATGTTTTTTTTTTATTATAATTTTATTTGTCTTTACAAATGATTTATTATAAAATAATTATTTTTTTTTTGCAATTTTAGTTTTTTGTAGGATGGTGGTTTATTATTGATGCTCATGCGAAATATCCTAATGAAATGGCGAAGGCATATCATGTATGTGGAATATTTGGAACTATATCTTTATTTATGTAAGAAAATGTTCATATTTATCATAATATTTCTGGCAATAATATGCAATAATTGAAAATAATTATTTAATTTAGGATAAATTCTGTAACGAATGCACAAATGAGAGGTGATGCACTTAATGGTGGTTATCTTGGAGCTAGAGGTGCAAGAGGTTGGTTATTTGTTGGATTTGTAATGGGATTTGCTGCAGTTATTGCAGCTTGTTGGATTTTATTTGCAGATTTTGTAGCTGTAGGTTTGTATATTATTTATAATTATAATTAATTATAATATATATTATTTATGATTAATAAAAATATGATTATCATCTTAATATTATTAATTTAATTTTTTAGGAGCTCAACATCATTGGCCTGGTGTAGGTCTCTTTTTACAAAATGTATTTATTTTTTTGGGATCTCTTACTTATAAATTTGGACGATCAGAAGAACTATGAGATTATTCAACATTTGTACATTACAAGCGTTTTTACATATTTGTGCATAAGTTTTTTGTTCTATTTTATTTTCAAATAGAACACTTATTGAGGAACAAATACTTACACACATTGTACTGTGAATTATATTAGTTCATTATAAAATTGTAAACTCTTTTTGTTTTTATTTATTTACATATAAGTAGTTATTTAAATGTTAAACTCATATTAATCATTTATAGCAAATTATTTCTAAATAATTATTGTATATAAATATTATACTATTATAAAGAGATAATTTGCTTAATAAAATAACAATTTTTTTATAATAGTTTTTTATTATAAGATTTAAGATAAATAGAGCTAAAATTTAAGAGTTTTGTTTTTAATAAATATTTACATATAAATATCACTTTTATTACAAATACTAATATAATTAATAATTGTATTTGTATGTAATAAATTTGCATTTATTGATGTAATATTAAATGACTGAAAATTAAATATATTTTAATTGATTAAATAAATTGTAATTACATTTATTTATTAATTTTTGTTTATCATTTATTTGTATTTTTTTATTAAAAATTAAAATAAAATAAAAATAAAAGTGATTATTTAATGTAGTAAATATATTTTAGTTATTAGAATTAATAATCATAGAAAATAAAATAAAGCATCTTTTTGTGTAATTTTGATTCTTTGAAATTATCTATATTGTAATAAAGTGGGGATGGAATAGCGGTTTATTCGTTTTGATTTGTCAGCGCGGACCAATATGATCGTTTTCTTCCATCTTATTTTACCAATCCCGTTGTGCCACACAAACACATGCTTCTTGTTCAGTTTGATGAAAAAGGTGTACGTTATTTTTCTTGCTTTAAACAAATTGGAACGTACGTATACCTATGTCTAATGGTTTAAGAACAGTAGTTCTTTTGTCGTCAGACTAATATTTTTAAAAAAAGACGAAAAAGTGAGTAAAGTTCTTTGAGATTTTTTCTTAATTTCTGGTTACCATAACCAAATTTGACAGTTTTGCAAAAGTTCTCGTGTAATTGAAATTTATTTTTCACATAAATTATGTTTTAC